TTCTTTGTTTCGACAAGAAAGCTGAAGCTTCACTTTTTTTTTCCTGTGACTGTGCCACTCTCTCCACGCTGTCCCCGTGCCCCGTCCTGCACACACCATGTCTGCGTGCAGCTTCGTGATGGACAGTGCTGGAAGAGGCAGCAGATCCTGCTTTTGTGCTGCAAGATCTCAGTGCTCTGAGAGCTCACCCACCAGTCTGGACTAACACAGAAGCGCTAGAAAATGAAAATATTTCCTGTTTCATAAATCTGTGCATCGTGAAACTCAGTGCAATTATGATCTGCCTGCCTGAGGGAAAGGTTGTAATGATACTGGAAGCAATGCAGGAAAGGAGAAAAGGAGCAAGTCAAGAGCACTCCTCAGTGCTGTCTTTGCCTGCTTACTCAATCAGTAACTTCTGTGAAATGGTCTTTCAGGTAAATTCTACAAGTTATTAGGGCATGACTTGCAGAAACAATAGCTATAGGTAATTTCCTAATGATATCTCAACATGACTTCCAGACTTGAATTTAACAATTTTCCTCCTATTTCTATGAGGTAAAAACCCCCCTTATTTGTATGGTTTGTTTGTTTGTTGTTTTTTTTCCCTGAGATACTGTGTAAGCATCTTGTTGCCTTTATGAGAGGGCAGGATGTTTGGATACATGTATGCAGACCAGACCTGATACCTTTTTTTTTACCCTTTTTTCTGCTTGGAAGGTCTTAGACTTAAATATAACAAACTTACATCTTGCTCCCTCTCAGAACATTAGTTTGAGAAAAAGTCAAAATGCTTGAAAATTTGTGAAATGCATTATAGTGTGGCACATAATTTCCAAGTACATTTTGCAAATATATTAAAATAATACATAAAAAAAAATACATGTGTGATCCAAGATAGTATCCAATGGTCTCCTTATCCTGTGTGAAAACTTGCCTCATGTATCTATAATCCACATGCATTGAAGAGCCTCAGATGCTGAAAATCTGTTAATCCAAACTTCTAGTACCAGAAATAGGTACAACAGCTTACTGTGGCTAAAAGTAGAAATGGAAAAAAGGTTTCTCTGTATTTATCCCCCAGGAATACTGGCCTGCCCTCTGCTACATTTTCTGTCCAAATGTGTGGTGGGTTTTAAGCCCTTCATTGTAGGAAGTTACTTTTGTTTTCTGTAAGAGAATCTGACCTACAACATTTTGTTTCCATATCACGTGCAGAGTTTACTTGTATACCTTTTCCTCACAGTTGGGAGTGTGGTGGGAAATAGAGATTTCCTCATCTGCTATCAGAGTCTGTCATGTGGTGTCAAATAATTCAGTAAGTTACAGTCAGGAAAAGACACAACTGACTTAGGGAAAAGGACTAGTGACTATCATCTGTGTTAGAGTTGTAGTTGGGCATAGATCTTATTTTTTTTTTATTGTTTAAAGGTTTACAATCCATTGAATGTGCCATTCCAGAAGAGCAGAAGCTATTCACCAGACAACTTTAATTATGTTAACAAAATACGGGGAAGTTTGGGGTTTTTTTCCTAAATCCCATGGATGTGTAATGTCTGAAGTGTGACATTACCATGTCCTTCTGTAGAACTGTTCTAGAGCTGGACAGGGTTTTTCTTTCAGTAGAAGATTTAGTCTTGCTTCCATGGCAGCTGCCTCCTTTTGAAAGCTTCTTCCTGGTACTTTTCTGGTAGTAGTGCTGCTTCCTCTTTCTTATGAAACAAAACATTATAGTCTTTTTTGACATTTCAGAGTCTTCTTGACAGCAATTTTAGCACCATTTTTTAATTTTTTTAAATTTTTTTTTCTATGAAGATGCTTACTATTTATCTTATACAGTTACAAAATACATAATAGGATTTTCAGCTTCTGTATCTAATGAAATAACCCTTGTGTAAAGAGAGCTGTCTCAGCATTGATTGTGACACAGAACATAAGCAGGGTTTTGACCTGAACAGGGGACGTGCTGACCCATCCCTTCAAATTCCCCATGTGCTACTGTAGTGAGCCAGGGCCTGGCTCTAGTCTGCTCTTGCTGTGGTAACCCTCCCTTAGGGTTTAGCAGAAGTCAGGACAATTTACAGATGATGAGTTAAAAGCCAAGCCAAACCAAAACTTGCTAAATTTTTTTGCAAAGTAAAACCAGAAGTTTTTTTGTTTCAGCAGAGAAGGGTGGAAAGCACCATTCTCCTCTTGTCTTACCCAGCTTTGAAGCTTTTAGGCTTTTAGCCACTGAAATATGTCATCCCATATTTTATTTTTATTTTTTTTTGTGTTGCACACAGTTTCATTTTCCTCTGGGAATTCTGGCCTTCCCTCCACAACAGTGTCTGTCCAAATGTGTGGTGAGTTTTAGGCCTTCATTGGAGGAAGATATTCTTCTGTAAGAGAATCTGTCCTATGAAATTTAGCTGCACCTACTAATTATGTTTTTGGAACTTTTGTCTTTTTTTTTTTTGTCATTCCTATTCCAAATCACATGCACGGTTTACAATTAAAGAGGGATTTTTTGGGGTTTCCGGGCTTTTTACTCACCATGGGATGCAGATCAATCTAGATGCTTTGATAAATGTCACTTCCCTGTAGATGTAGTGTCATGTGTTACCTAGGCTCCAGTGTTTTTCACAGACTATTTAATTTTAACCTGCCCCATTCTGTTACTTTTGTTGTTTTTCTAAGTAAAATAATTAAAGCTGATTGGGTGCAGAATCTGAAAAAGGTGAGGATTTACCATTATTGTATACCAATACAGATCCTTGCTTAACCTGAGAGCAGAAAATTACATATCTAACCAGTCTTTAGCCAGGTTGGAGTTTTTTCAGCCAGTGCATATATTTTTAAGAAGCCTAGCAACCAAAACGAAAGAAAAAACAATTTATTGAGTCTGAATTGAGACCCTGTATGCAGGAGTAACAGGACTGCATGATGAAATGATTTTGATTCTGTGGGGAAGAACCAAAATAAAATCACTGGATTTTATCTATCCAGTGTTGTATAAAGTTTCTGAGAGATTTGAGAAATCCTAATTTGTAGAACTTGCTGACATTTAATCACAAGTCTTATTATCTCTCTGTGTCTGTCTGTCATCTAAAACAACAAAAGGCATCCATCTAATATGTGAATCTGATCATGCAGAGGTCTTGATGCTGGTTTATATTCCTATCTCTCTACAACTCCTCCTTTGATTAAAGGACCCCAGAGGCTATTGCAGTTCTTCTGGACTAACCTTATGTTTCTTCCTGTTCCTCGTCTATTCTGTGTGAAGCTTTTTGAGTGGTTTTAATCTCCTAATTACCTCAAACTAGTAATTTAATTTAATTTTACTTTTTTTTTTTTTTTTTTACCTTGAAAATGTGGCTTCTTTAGCTACTCCAGTGTTGTAATTAGGGTAATACTCAATTTCATTCTCTGTGTTTACAAGGATGGAGTGTTGTACACCGCAGGGGATGATAAGGCCTGTAGAAGACAGCTAGCTTCTTAAGGAACATCTCTAAGGAGCCCATGGAATTATGTGTATTGCAAAACAAGAAATTGGCAGAGTCACCAAAAGCCTTTAAATAAAATGAAATCTATCTTTCCTTGGTGTGGGAGGAGTACCTGGCAGAGGACAGTCCTTATCATAAAATAATGGTAAATAGGATTCAAGTGCATACATTCTGAGGTATTGTTTGCCCCAGTCCGCAGAGGAGCTTTGCTGTAGGTAAAGAGTTCATACTCTGTCATTTACAAGACCATCCTACCTACATCTGGTCTTCCCAGCTTTGTGAGCGTTTAAGCGTTAACGAGAACGAGGGAATGTTACAATCTGAGGAGTTTATTTTCTTTTCCTCTGTGCCCCAGTGCAGAGCGGCTAGCTGGGAGCTTTGGCTCCTTCTGACTCTCGGTGAAATGCGCTCACTTCTGGAGCTGACTCCAGCAAGACATTTGCTAACTGCTAATAGCTGTTAATGGTGTTACCTCCGGGAGACCCTGCCAGCCCTTCAGGCCCACAGGTTTAACCCTCTGAGACACGGAGGTAGGTGGGAAATCGATGGCGTGCTGGAGCTGGCAGTGCCATCAGACCTTCGCTTGAGAGACCGCACCTCTCCTTTTGTCAGAGCTGCCGTGTTCCCAGCGAGCTTTTGTCCTGTTCTCCGTGCTAAAAATACATTAAATGAGTAAGTAGGGGGAAGACGGTTCCCTAGGACAATGATTTTCCTGGAGGCTGTGCTAACTGGGAATAGGCTTCCAAGTAATTCCCCGTGATTTTGCACTGAAGGCATGTGTGACGCACTGCAAGCTGAGGTGGCTGCAAAAGCCCCCTGTTCTCTTGCTGTAGAGCTGTGTCCTGTAGAAGTTAGAAAAAAGAAGTTAAAAATACCTGGTTTCTGGGATGTGTGTGGGGCAACCGGAGCACAAAGAAACCAGATAGTTTTTCCTGGAACGTAAGGTGAATTGCTGATCTCGGGGTAGATGGCACCATGCGCTGAGCCTGAGTGAAAGAAAATTAATTCGCCTTAACTACCTGAAAGAGGGCTGCTACTTCTCATCTTTGAGCACCTATTAAGTCATCCAGTGTTAGTCAGTGTAATTACGGAGGCTACAGAAGTAATTCCAGATAGCAAACAGTGTTGAAATGTACAATTTAGGCTTAAAAATAAAACTATTCAGAATAGATTTTCCTGCGAGTTAAGGGAACCCGGTGTGTTTGTTAGTCACCGCAATCAGACACTGCTCTGCGCTCAGGGCTTTTTTGGCCTCCCCTGCTTGCTTCCTCATACCGCGTTGGCAAGCTGCAACAAGTGAAAACTCCACCCTTCCTACAGACCGGGGAGAATAAGTTTTATAAACGGCAACAGCTGGCGAGTAAAATCGGGGTTCCTCTGAAGGTGCTGTTTTCTCAGACAGTCGCTGCCTGTAGCTGAGAAAGGGGCGGGATCCTTTCCGAGTAGGTTAGTTGTGATTTGCTGAATTCGTAGACTTTTCCCCTCAAAACCCCAGCTCTCTCTCTCTCTCCTATTTTTTTTTTTTTTCCCCTTCCCTCTGAGAGAGAGAGAGAGAGAGAAAGGGAGAGGGAGAGAAGCTGACTTGCGGCTGCATCTCAGGGCGCAGTCAGCGTCGGTCCCCGGAGCCTCGCCCGACACCATGAGCTCGGAAGCCGAGGACCCCAAGGAAGGTACGGATTTTAACTATTGGTTTTCGCAGGAGGGGAAATACGCACGCTGCTTGTCTGAGCATGGAGGAGACTTTCCGTTCTCTTTAGCTTTCGGGGAGGAAAAGGCCTTTCAAAGGGGAGGGGAAAAGGCCTTTGCGAAACTGCTGGAGGTCCTGCCGATTTTGCAGGATGTGAAGTGAGCGAAGTGTTGGCACCCAGGGATATCTGTCTGTCTCGGCCAGGGTAATTTACTCACACCCGGGGTACAGATAAGTGGAAGAAACAGTGTTTCAAAACACTGATAGTCAAATGTCGAAAGAGGATTATTTCTTTCATTTGGAAGCCCTGTATTTTTCAGCCAAAGAGGAAGCTGCATGGGGGAGAAGTGAAAGGTCATTATTTTGGGAATAAGGTTGATGCCACTTACTTCCCTGCAGATGAGTGTTCGTAAGTGTACGTGTGTGTTGAAACAGAGGAGTGTGCCAGAGCTACAGCGTGCTGCTGCTCCTGGAGCGGGACGTGTGGAGGGGCTGGAAGGGCTCCAACAAAAATGCAATTATTCCCTAGCGTTGATCGGGAGGGGGATGTGAGAGGGGTTCGGACAGTGGGGAGCAAGCGGGGGAGGAGGAGGAGGAGGCCAATTTCCTGAAAGTGCCTATATACAAAAGAACATTTATATAGATGAGGAAACAGGGCAGTGGCAGGGGTTGTGTGCTGGATTTTTTAGAATAGGATTGATGTTTCATGCTTACATATAGCCCTTAGGGAGACTCATACCTACAGAGATACAGTATGGCTGAGCAAAACAACTTTAAAAAACTCAACAGAGAAGCAAGCAGCAAGCCGACCTAAGCATTTTGTGTCTGGTGAAAACAAGAACTTTTCAGGATGTTTAAGGTGGTTTTCCCCTCACAGTCTGTACAATTTCCTTCACTTGAATAAAACATTACCAGGAACATCTGTCTTCTTGCTTAGAAAAGGATCTTGTTGATTTGCAAAAAAAGTCTGCTTGCACTGAATCAAAATCAATGCTAATAATGCTAGTAAAATCTGGTAAGTAATAGAGCACAATAGCCTCTGTTTTGATAAGAATAATCCTTATATTTTTCTTCTTGTCAAATGAACATCTGAACCAAAAGGCTGCTTTTTTCTCTTTTTTTTTTTTTCCCCAAAGAAGATTCTGTAGGACAGATTTATTGAAAAGAAGAGCTGTAAAAATTATTTCTCTTTAGAAAGTTTGAAGAAGAGAATATGTGAACATTATCCCTCAGTTTTACAGCAGGAGAGATCTGCTATAGCAAGGGAGATCCTTTGAGATCCTTTGGTTTCATACAGGAAGCTCCAGACAGTTTTACTAAGCTGGCTATTTTTGAAATGTAGATTTTATTGTTTGAAGAAATGTCTCGCCTTCTTAGATGACTGATTCTTAAAATCAAATAGGTTTGCTGTTTTGTGCATTTCTTCATAAACAATTTGAAATGCCAGGATTTTCATGCTGAAAAAAAAAAGCATTTGAAGCAGGTGTCTGAGACAGATAAAAAAACAAGGCTAGCTTTTTGATTAGTTATTTTTCACTTGGGGAATATTTGGGTTTTGCTGTTCTTTGTTCTTAATGTGCTACAATGGAAAATGAAACAGTAACCATTGTGGGAAGATGACGTACAGATGTCACTGAGAAGGTTTTTCAGTCAGTCTGTAAATGTGTCCCTGATTATATATTCAAATCTTTAAAGGAACAACTTAGAAAATGCATGAGATAGGTGTGTATGTGAATAAAGACTGGGATTAACAGGTAAACATGTAGAATTGCAGCTGTCACACTAGTTTGCCTAGTCTGATTGAACATTTATGGACGCATAAAATACTGAAAAATGCAGTCAAATACCTGTGTATTTGTAGTGATCCAGTGTATGTAGCACAAAATAGCCAGTCTTTCAACTTACAAGCTCTGTTTCATGAAGAAACTGGTTTTTTGCGTAAAGAAAATGGATGCTTCACAAATTCAAACGAAATGTGTGGCTCAGGTTTTTGACATTGAGGATATGTAATTTTTAAGGGGTTTACCAAATGGGAGGTGGTTGATTTTCCATTCAGGTGCAAGACTAAATGTCACTCTAAAAGAGGAATTCTGATAGACCCACAAACTATATGGTCTACCAAGGTAATTAGGAGGTAAAGGCCTGTGGCGGATTATGGAAGGAGCAGAGGGTATAGTTGGACAGTTATGGAATAGGTGTTTTATCAGATTCTGCACATTTCAAGGCCAAAGATAGTGATGAAGGGTATAGTGGCTAATCTGCTACAAGCTAAGAAGTGAAAGGAGGAGAAGGCTCCATGAAGAATGTTGGTTTAATGATGTTTGTAAGCATAGGCAGATTTTTGTTTTCCTTACTCCAGAGAAGCTCAAGTGGCCAGGAGCTAGTACAGGGGTCTGTGAGGAGCTCTGAAGTTCACTTGTAGCTTCCAGATGTGACTCGCAGACCATGTATTGGAAGACCAGCCTCAGTGAAAAGGAGAGTTGAGGGTGCAGTAATAACATTGAACATTGTGTATGTTCTGCCAATGATCTGATGCTGAAGTGAGCAGTACTTAATTTTCAGCTATTTTCTACAAGGGAATTGCAGTAATTGCAGAACATTGGGATGTCTATAAAAAGTAGATTTAGTGTGAATTATTTTTAAAAATCCACATGACAAGATCCAAGATTGTAGGCTTTACTACTGTAAAAATGAGCTATAGCCACTGTTGCAATGAAATCCAAAATCAAGGTTAATTTTGAATGTAAAACTCTTAAAGATTTTCTTTTCGTACTTAATCGAATAAAGGCAGAGCATTTGACCTCAAGTAAAATCTAATTTTTTTAACATGAACAGAGAATAAAAAGATGTTGCTAGAAGACAGGCATTACCCTGCTATATATTATACTAATTGCTGGATATAGGGTATGCAGCAATGTATGTGGGGTTTTCAGCTTCTGCCTTTGATGTCTTCGTGGTCCGTATTAGAATGGTAACATGAAACAGGTTTTTTTAGCTCCCACCACGCTGCTCAGTAACTTCAGAACAATCTTTGTGTTCGTCTGTATCCCACAATGCTGTGGTAAATATGTGCATGTGTCTGTATGGCATCAATCTGCATTGCATTTACAGATTCCAGCAACTGTCGTGATATAAATAACCCTGTGACATTTTCTTGTTTTCATTGCTTTTGCCCCAGATGAAACAAATTGTGTGTTAAAGTCCATAAGAAGACTATAGCATTTAACTGCATGGTATAATTTCATTCTGGTGTTGATTGGTGGTGCGTCACCTGCCATGGAAGGTACCGAGCGGTTTCAGGCTTTGATTTGACTGAATTCCTTTCTGAGATCTGAAGGGAATGTTATTAATGCTGTCATGTTAAAATTATGTATCATGAGTGCACCTTTTAAAATACATGGCAATACCAATCAAAATTATTGTGATGTGAATGCAGTTCTTCGATAGAGGGAAACAGGAATTTATGTAAAGCTCTGGAGAACTTCATTCTACAGGTTTTATGCAGTATATGTAGAAAATAACAGGAGAGAAGTCTTGATATCTCAAAGGTAAAGTAAAATAATAACAGATATCAGAGTGAATGTAATACATAGCCTGTAAAACAATGGATATTGTGTTACAAGCTCAGACACAAGTGAGAGCCTGCATTGCACCTTTTTCATAAGAGAGAGAGAGAGATCACTGCATTCCTACAAGTGCTTGGAGATTTTTTTAGACATGATTAGCATTTTTTTTAATCCAAATGAGATTACTGAAGAATGAGCTCACCTGTTTTGTTCCTTTTAGAACTCAGAGCAACACAAGGGTTATAAAATCACAGAGCAGTCACTGTTTCAAGAAGTTAGTACTCCCTCCTGTAAGTAGTCCTGTCTTTGCTTTGACATTTTGCAATCACCTCTCATGTATGAGTGTTCTCCAAGCTAGAATTGTATTCAATTAGACAACAAATCAACTGCTCTTGTGCTCCTACAGTCCACTTACTCCATCTACAACATCAGTGGGACTTGGTAATGTATCATTCTCCATCCCACTAACTCCAAAACCAGCATTTGTTAGAACCTTTTTTTATTTTATGCCAGTGAATGGGGAAATCCAAACTGTAGCAGTAGAGCACGGAATTAGCGCTTAACCCCACAGATTTGACTCACCTTCTGATCTCACCCCAAAGACTAAAAAATGTGGGCTTCCTTTGTTTCACCTGCTCTTTGCTTACCCTCCCTTGTCAAAACAATAATCTTCATAAAGCATTAGGCCCAGTGAAACGGGGGCCTTTTGTTGTAGTAGTCTGGACAGTTCAGTTCAGAAGCAGGAAGAAACATCTGGCCCCAGTGGACGTATCAGAGATACTGAATACTCAGTTTGAGAACATTTTTTTTATCTCACAGATAACTTTCTTACTGCTTATGAAGAGAATGAAAAGATTGCTGGCTATACATATCACATACACAGCTTTGTAAATCATAGTAATGCTTGACGTATTTGGCAGTTTGTGCAATCCCTTCTATGGTTAATTAGATTTGTTAATAGGACAGGGTGATAGGAAAAAAGCATCCCTCTAGTACAGGAAAGAAGGAAAAAATAAATTTGTGAGAGTTTAGAAAGAATTATTACTAACCAGGTGCTGTAAAACCATATCACATATGCATGAGGAAAGCATCGCCAGAGGAACATATAGCAGGGGAAAAAACCAAGAAGAAAAACCCTTAATTTTTACAAGAAGAAGCAATGGGAAATTTTGGGAGAGTAAGAGTACAGTACACAGGCAAGTTGGAACCGCTAGATTTTTTTTTGTGTGTGTGTAGCTTGGGCAACAATGCTTTTAATGAAGCAAGATGCAGGAAATAAAGGGCTGTGAGGACAAAACCTGCCATTATTTGTAGCACAGCTGCTGCGGTTTCATTGAGATGTGGGCCCTTGAATCTATCAGTAAGAGCACTGACTCCAGGCTGTTAAGCCATGAGACTCTGTAAGAAGCTCTGCACC